AAAAAAAGAAAGAAAGAAAAAGGGAGAGATCCCCAGGGGATAATGTACCCAGCATAGATATAGGGGGATGCTGAGGGAACCAAGGGATCCACAGAAGGACAGATGCAGTGTGCTGACTTCCTTATCCCAGGCAGCTCAAACAGACACATTCTCTCAAGCTGTGGCTGTAAATGTCTTCCTTCTCCGATTAACAATGGACAATTGCAGATTTTCTTTCCATCCCCGGTCCCCATAAGAGGCAATGCAATTGGGAAAATCAACTAGATAAATGTGGCCTGGAGTTGGCTGTCCCTCAGAGCTAGGACTAACACAGATAGAGCTGAAGACTGTCCTCAAACACCTGGATTGCTCTCGATGGTCGCCAACTACTCTGGGATTCAGATGAGGCCTGGGGAAGGAACAGAACATAGGGCTCAAACTGGGCTGGCTTTCATGTTGACTGTGCCCTTGAATCCAGAGCTGGGCGCAGAAAGTCACTATAAGGACCCGAAGCAAGCTTTTTGGCCAAAGTGACCCTGAGGCGGAAGAGGTCAGCCTGCTCAGAATTTTGGTTAACAGTCATCTAAGGGCCAAAGAAAAGGAGTCACATCACACCCAGGTGGAGGACCTTCCAAGAGTAACGGGGGTGCAGGGGCCAGAGGTGGAAGTTGGGGAGGGGGGAGCTAAAGAGAGCCTTGGGACTGTCTGCAAAGAAGCCTTCCACGCCCACCAGATGCCCTGAGCTGGGTCCCAGGCCCCAGGTGCAGACACAAAAGCAAAGTAAACGGCAGAGACCATCTGGTGGGAAAGGGACAGGCACAAGATGGTAAGATGTGAGGACATAAAGAATCCCAAAGTCAAAGTTACTGGATCCATCAAGTTGTACTCTGACAACTTGTATGCATTGCCTTTTTTTAAAAAAAAAAAAAAAGAAAAAGAAAAACAACAACAACAACAACAACAACAACAACAACAATCAGTCCCACAACCCTGGGATCATGACCTGAGCCGAAATCAAGAGTTGGATGCTCAACCGACTGAGCCACCCGGGCACTTCTGCATTGCCTTTTGAACAGTTTTTAAAGGTCCTTTTATAAGTCGCCATGTTCACTTTCTAGTAAAGGCAAATAACACTGGTACCTGTTCACTGAATGGCAATTTAGCGTAACTGAGTAATAAAAGCCCGAACACCAGCTATTCCTCAACCAGACCTGCGAAGGTGACAGGGCGATCATGCCGCCCAGAGCTACCCCTGGAAGAAGGGCACTTTCTAAAGAGAACATGCGTCAGCTGTCTCACCGCCGCACGTCCTTGTCCTTCAACCCTTCCCTGGGGGTTCACGCAGGGCCCTATCCCGCAGCCTCCAAGCTCAGGCCCTGCCTCCCCCTTGGCCACGGCGCGGCTCATGGTTTCCCTCTCCACGTGGCTCCAGAGCAGACGGACAGACACCAGACTGCAAGCACGTGAGCAGTAGAACCGTCCCTCCCGGAACTGGCAGGGAGGCAGGGAGGCCAGGAGCGGAGGTCAGCAGAGGCTCCTCTTGGGCCGGGGAGATGGTGTGTCGGTGCATCTGGACGGAGTGGGAAAGGAACGCTTGGGGAAGGACTGGGGTAGAGCCTGAAGAGCGGCTGTGGCCCAGTCTCCTAAAGGGGAGGGCGGGCCAGGGCCCCCCCGAGACACAGCAGGGGTGGGGCCCAGAGGCCGGTGAGGCCCCACTGGATGACGAAGGGGCGGGGACACGACCTGTAGGCTCAGACCTCCCAGGGAAGGAGGTGTGAGGTTATCTGCGGAGGCCTGCAGGCTGAGGGCAGTAAACGGGGCAGGGAGAGGGCAGCCTCGGGGATGGGTGACCAGTCCGAGGGGCCCACGCGCCTCTGGCACATTTCGCAGCCTTTCTCTGTGGCCGCGAGCATCAGGGCAGAAGGGCTCAGGCACACACGAGTCTTGGGACTTCGGTTTTATGGCCTACACGGCAACCTCTTAAATGTGGGTCGGCCCACGGCTTCTCACGGCAGCTCAGCTTCACTCCTCGCCGACTTCCACCCTCGCGGGCCTGCTCACCGTCACCTCAAACACCGCCCATCACGGTCTCCCCAGAACGGACTCTCCTGCTTCCCGTTCCTTCCCGCTCCTCACACGCCGACCACGAGCTGGACAGTGAGCGAGGCACTCGGGCGTGGTGACAGTGAGCGTCACCAGGGCGCATCGTCCCAGCAAGCCCGAGGCCGGTGACCGGACTTCCCCAGCTGGTGGGCGAGGAAGTGAAGGCACGGAGAAACAAGGCAACGAGCCCACGCCACACAGCTCAGCGAGAGGGGCTATCCGGTTCAACCCCGGCTCTCTCATCCGGGGACCCACCAGAGCTGCTGTTTCCAACCTTAGCTGCTGTGCTGGGATCCCCGGAAAAGCTGTTAAAATAACATCCGTGCACGACCCCACACCCAGAGAGGCTGATTCAGCTCGTGGGGATTAGGACCCCACCCGGCTTATTTTTCAACTCCATCCCTCACCCCCCCCCCCCCCCCCCCCCCCCCCCCACACCCCCGCAGGTGACTGCAACACACGGGCCAGGGCTGGGAACAAGTATGCCAGAGACTCCAGAGGGTCTGGCCGGGGTGTTGTGCTGTACCCCGGGGCCCAGCAATGTGCCTGGCACGCGCTGGAAGGGCAGTCAATCCTTGCTGACTGACAGAAGGAATGCAAACGCCACACTCCCCATCCAGGGCTCCAAACCTGGAGCTCCCACCAGGCATGAGCTGACTGGCCCCTGGGCCACACCTCACCCTCCTGCCCCGCCTCCTCCCTGGGGACAGAAAAGTCATTCTCCCCGCCTCACCTTCTTCCTGCCACCCCGTTCACCGGCCTCAGTGCTTGCTCCATGTTTAAGGATGCAGCTGTGGCCCCTTGGTCTGGTATTTCAGACCCCAACACCCCAGTTTATCCTTTCAATCACATCTGCCACCACCCAGGTGCCCCGCTGTGCGGGCGGGGGTCCTCCTCATCTCCCGTGCAAGTCTGGAGGCTTCCTGCAACAGTGACTCCGGTAGTGCCCGCCCCGTCCAGGCCTGGATCCTTCTCACCCACGAGGACCTAACTGCCCGGCGGTGCCCTCCACCCCAGCCTCCAGGGATTCCCTTCTGACTCCGAAGGTCTATGCCGAGAAGCCTACTTGGCTCCGGTCTCGCATGGCCTCTGACCATCATTTCCACGTGCACGTGTCCTCGTTTTCTGACTAAACTGAGATCACTTGAGGGCAACAACCGTGGGCACGTAATTTGGCTTCTCCCACAGTGGCCGCCACCGCCCACGCTCCGTGAGCACCGCCGGGCCCTCGCCATTTCGTCTCTGTGTGAGTGGCCTTACCTGTAGTATCTGGACTGCAGGTAGGTGGAACACACAGCCTTGGACACGTGACTGGCCGAACCGAAGTCGATGACCTTCACTCTGTACGGCTGCCTAGACGGATCTACCAGCATGATGTTTTCCGGTTTGAGGTCGGCATGGATGAGACCGAGGCTTTTCAGCTTCATCAGGGCTGTGGCTACCTGCTGGAGGACTGGGCGGATGTACTTGAGGGGCAAGGGGCTGAACTTGTTCTGCTTCAGAAAGTCATAGAGGTTCTGCTCCAACATCTCAAAGACCAAGCACGTGTGGTTCTTGTGCTGGAAACACTCGTAGGCGCGGACAAAGTTGTAGTCGTCGGCGCTCTCTGTGCTCAAGCGGGCCAGGATGCTCACCTCGATCTGACCCTGCCGGGCATACGACGGGTGGTTCTTCAGGATTTTGATGGCCACGATCTCATTGGTGCCCCGTTTCCAGCACTTGACCACTTGCCCAAACGTCCCTCGGCCCAGGAATTCTAAAACTTCATAAGTGTTGGTCATGGAACACAGCACCTCATGCTGGACCAGCTGGTAATCACCCTCGCTGTTGGAGCCACTGTTTTTGGAGGTGGCAGTCGATGTGGTGGCAGTGGCTACAGTGGCCCCACTGGCATTATTCTGAATCATGGGTGGATGCTCTTCGATGATCTGCACGCTGCTCGTGTTCTCAATCTCCTCACTCTTACGCTTGAGTCCACATTTTTGGTAGGTATCGAGAAGGCTCACAGTGCTGCGACGCATCAGGTTGTGTGGTCCGCCGAGGACTTGCCCGGTGACAGAAGTGCTGCTTGCCGATGTTACGACTATGTGCCCGGTGCTTCCTGGGAAGATGATGGTCTGCTCGTAAGGTAGGCTTGGGTTTGGGATCGGCAAGGAGGTGCTGACGGTTGTGGTGGCTGGCTGAGAAGGCGGGATGTTCTTGCTCTGGCTGTACACTTTGCTGTGGGAGCCGTACCCAGTCATGTCCCAGGCGGAACTCGGCTCCACTTTCAGTTTCTTCACACTACAGAAGGCACTTGATTGAAGGGTGTGAGGGGAGAAGACTTGCACATGTGAGGCCATACCTAGGAGGAAAAGAAAGGGAAAGACACATATTTTAGTCGCCACGAAACGGACGAGCTCAGCAGATTCATCTCAGTTGTGACCGGTGGCTCGGGTCCTAGAGAATATTTTCCTCCCACTTCAAAGCAAGGTTGGGAAAGTGAATCTATCCCCCCCCCCCCCACCCCGGGGAAGCACATGCTGGTCACTCAGTTCGTGGGGCCGAGGAGTTCGTGTTCCGCCTGCCCCCGTGGGGGGTGGGGCGGGGGAGAATTGTAGAGTCGGTCAGGAATACAATCAAGACTCAGATACAGAGTTGGAATATCAGGACTTTGTTCGTGACTTACTTGTTTTTATAAATACTGTTTGTGATAGAAACAGATTCTTCCCCAATTCTCGCCGGGTTGCAATCCTACTAAAACCGAGGACTGTATCAGGTGGCCCAGGTAACTGTTAGACTTAATTGTCCCACATGGTCTGCTACTCCTTGTCACAGACCCTGTTGGGTTAACTCGTTAGAAGAAACATCTTCCTCTACGGGTCCAGGCATGGCGCCACTCATGATCCGGTAGCTTCTGGATGAATCGTAATTACCCCCTGGGATCTTAGTCATCTTAAATGAATTCTCTAGGGCTGAGTAGATCAGCAGTTAGTCTGATGCTTTCATTTAGATGGTCTAAATAAAACATTTTGTCATTTATTTTGTTTTATATCATTGAAACCTTTACTTTTTTTGTGGGGGGGGGAAGGGGTGGGTAGCACCATTTATGGGCTCTACTCACTAACTTTTCCTGCTGAATTCATCTATCCATAAATTTATCCATAAAGTACTGTTCTTTCGTACCAACATCTCAGCCACAATTTAGATAACCTCAGAAATCTATTAGACTATAACTCTGGAATGGTTGCACAATTTAGAATTTTGGTGATTCTAAAAACAAACAAAAATCATAGAAAAGTATCAACGAAAAATAAGGCAACGAAATGAGGAAGGTAAGTTCTTAACAGTGAAAGTGAAAACAAACACTGCTCATCATCTAACTGTAGTTGATAAACATTCGTTTTTTTGAGAGAGAGAGAGAGAGAGAGAGAGAGAGAGAGAGCGAGCAGGGGAGAGGGGAAGAGGAGAGAGAGAGAATCCCAAGCAGACTCCATGACCAGCGTGAAGGCCAATGTGGGGCTCAGTCTCACAACTGTGAGATCATGACCTGAGCCAAAATCAAGGTGGACGTTCAACCAACTGAGTCACCCAGATACGCCATAACCATTTCTCAAAGAAGCACAAGGACACTGGGATTTCCATCAAGGACTGCTGTTGTCTAGCCATCCTTGTGTTCCTGTCTCAGACCCCTCGCATTACCTAGAGTGGTCATTAAACATTTTCCTTCACACCCTGTCACCTGTCACCCTAGCCACCCTCCCTCCCAGCAGACACCTTCCACTTGTCCAGGAGCCCAACACCTGCAGTCTTGCTTTCCACCTTTATTCTCTTCGTTTCAGAACATTCCTGAATCTACATCCAGCCCCCATCCTTTCTGCTTTCTCCCCGGTCTCAGAGGAAGCTGTGTCTCTCATTTCCAACCCCCAAATCTCCTTTCATTCTCATGATTCCTCCTCTCCAGTTCCCTCCACTGTCCTCTCCCTCTCCCAGAGCTTTCAATTTCTGCTTGTTAATTAGATCCAGGTCCTTAGTAGGTATTTAATAAAGTTTTGCCAAGCAAATCAATGACTTAATCTTTTTCTGCCTTCCTGTGTCACCGTGTCACACATTCCCAATTTAGAAGGTAAGAAGAGTAACAGCCATACTCTCCCCCTTTAATTTTTTCCTTCTCACCTGTCATCAGTGGTTTATGCTCCCTCTTCTTCAAGGCTCTCTCCTTAGTCTACGCCCCCATCCCGCACACCCACACACTACAGGGCTGTGTTCTGCAAGGTTCTTAAAGGTAAATGACTTCCCAATTGCCTAAACCAATGGCCCCTTTTCAGCCCCTATTCTCCTTGACCTCCCTGCAACATCTGATATGCTGACCACAACTCCCCTCCCGATGCTCTTATCTGTGCTTATGAGAATCTGTAATCTCCTCCTCCGGTGTCTGATTGCACGCTGTGTGCCTGGGTGGTTCCTTTTCCTCTTCCTCCTTTAAAATGTTGGCATTTCCAACATTTTGACTCTGTTCTCTCTGGAAGATATTCATTCAAACAGTTTGAGCTGTCATTTTTATGCAGGCGACTCCCACCGTTTATCTCAGGCCAGGTTCTCCCTCTTATCTTCCATTAGGAAGTTCTGCCTCCTGCAACGTCAAAGACTATCTCCCAAAGCTGAATTCCTTATCTTCTCCTAAAACTTTAGCCATCTCACGCCCCTTTCTAACATCCCCCTTTCTGTTCATAGAATATTCTTCTAGTCACTTGGTTCCAAAAATGTGGATTTACCTTTGATGAGTCTTCTTTTATCCATGGACAACCATTTCTCTTTCTTTCAAAATGTCTTTTGTAGCCATCTCTTTATTTCCGTTCTGGCTGCCACTTCCATGATTAAAGCATTTATTTATCACTTCCTAATAGGACTAGGGCAAATGCCAACATCTGGTCTACCTGAGAAGTCTTTTCCTCTAACTTGTCCATATTCAGTCACCAGATTAATCTTCCTAGAATAATTCTAGGCACATTACTCCCCTGTCCAAAAACTTTCAGTGTCTTCTTAGTGTCTACAAGATAAAGCTGAGGACTCTTTCACTTAACACTATCACATTCAATTTCAATTACCTTCTTGGTTTCATCTCCAACGAAGAACTATCCTCAACCCCCAACTTGAATTAAGCAGTTCTATCACTGTTTCTAGAATGTCTCTACATGTCCTACCTCCACACTCCTATCTCCATTCCCTCATCTGGCACGCCTTCACTGTTTCTCTGAAGTTATTCAAAGACCAGACAATTCGGATCCCTCCTCTTCCCAGACCTCACCAACCCACAGTGATCATTCCCGAATCTCTTCCTCTACAGCACTTGCCATATGCACTATCCATTTGGCCACAAATTGTACCTCTGCCTTGCAAAATCTTGTCTTGTTGAGCTGAGTTACTTATTTTTTGTGCTATTTCACTTGTTACACATTTAGGTCATGTTTCCATAACCAGCTTATATTCTGGATCCAAGAGCTACAGTTTATATTATCCATGGCAGGCACTCAGTTGATGGAATAAAAGCACTCTAACTGGCCAGACCTCCAGGAGAGCTTAGCTCTCTGGCCATAGAGCAATGACCAGTCATGGGCACCTATGGGACCTGGCCATCCCCCGGAAAGTAAAGAAAAACCTGTCGCTATCTTCCCACCCATACCAAGGCTTTTTTAAAAAAAACGAGGCAGGGGTTGGGCAGCTCCTGCCCTGATGTCAGCACTCACAGTCTATCGGTACTTTCAGTGTGGACATGCTCTGACCGTCCACAAGCAGCCTCAGCCTGACACCCAGCACCTGCTCGGAGCCCCACCTTCATCCTGATCCCATAGATCTGAGAAAGGCTTCCCTTCCTGTTTGGATCCTGAACTCCAATATCTACCTATACAAAATGACTACACCTCCATATACATCTTTCTGCCCGGCAAGACCATTTTGGCTTGCTTATTCAGATTCTACACTTTACCTATTTTTTCCCCATTGCTCTTTCTGTTCAAGTCAACCTCCCTCTAATTCTGTTGTAATACTGAAAATGTTGTTTTCTATAGTCACCAGTACTAAATATTCATATTGTCCTAGATGTTGTCCACTATGTAGAAATAACCAGTCCCTCGACTTTTAGTAACTTATCTACTGGAGGCAAAGCGTTTCCTTTGTCCTTTGCTACCTCATGTGCCCCTCATTCCTCAACGCTCAAGTACTTGGGGAGGGAAGGGTCGCATGGCATTGGAAGAAAGTTGCTGATGTTACATAAGGGAGAAGTGGCTCTTTTCTCTATTTTCACTGTTTCAAAAACATTTTGTAGAAAAGCCAGAGTGTAGAAGTGGAAATTTACAGAGGGGAAGAGGATGGCTTATGACTTATTTGTTATTGGGATGACAGCCAAGGGTCATAAAATTGTGGAAATCATCGCTGGCTACCTCTGGTGACAGATGCCCAGGACCGGAGAGGAGATGCGCGTGGCTAACAATGCCCTTCATCGCGCCTGGGGCCTCAAATGCTATTCCTCAGGATTACCATGATTCTCCAGATTTTAAAATCTCAAGTACCCACTAGGCTCTGGGCCAGATGTACTATGGACAGAGTAAGCACACGTCCGACTTTGTCTGGGACAGTCCAGAGTTACTCTTTCCAATCCATTCTCACAAAGGTCCTAGTTTGAAAGCTAGGAAGACAATTGATGGGTTTAGGCTCCCAGGATTAAGCGGAAAAATCAGGCCCTGACCCTAGACATTCCAACCAAAACAATTCTATGTGCCTCTTTGTCTCTGACTTAATGGTTTATTGATAAATTCCGTTTTCTAGGATTAAGAGTAATTTTTCCACCTAAAAATAAGAATAGCTAAATATCTTCCTGATTTTCCTGAAGGATTAGCGCACAAGATTTTTTAAATGTCATTTATTAAAGGACTGGCTCATTTAGTTCTTTCTTCTCCCCCTGCTTAGTTGCTTAGTTTCTTCATAATTTTTTATTTCACAACTAGAAGAACTGAAAAGTTGCTTCACATCTGAGTACATTTCCTTTCCATTTCACCACCCCAAAATTATCTACTGGAAGATCAGACTCTGGTGAAACCATGGGGATGAGTGAGGGTTCAACTATGATTTAAAAAGAAATTAAATTGAATTCAACTTCACTGAATTCTACCAAAGCTTGAGAGAAGGAATTGTAAGTAAAATAACGGCACCATTTCCCGCAGTGAATAAGGTTCAATTGTGGTTTGGCAGATGTGAAATAGATTACCACACAGAATCCAGTTACATTATTCGCGAGAACACAATCGTGAGCACCACAATCGTGAGCACCTTGGTGTAGAAGGTACAGACGTCCCCACTTCCCCAA